TTTTGTTAGCAACTTAATTTTTGAATGTTAATTTGTATAAAAATTTTTCATTGATTTTGTGTAACAAAAAATTTTTGCCGATCTGATAAACCTTTCAGATAAGTTGAAACACTACACAACCATTTGTGGTGTTTTGCGGGAGACAGTTTGGTTACGGAAAACGGTATTGTTAACGCTGATAAAATCTGTGGTTTAGGTATTTGTTGTTGAGGCCGAAGGTTATTACTCTGCGTGACATCTTCATCTTTTCACTGTTATATTTGTCACCATTAGTTTAGAAACTTTTCCTCAAATTTTTTCCTTTATTTCTTTGTTGTTTTCAATTGAAATGTAGGAAAAAAAAAAGTGTAAGTAACATTTGGTTGTTAAAGATTTTACATTTAAAAATTGATTCTTTTTTTTTTTCTTCTGTTGTTTAATTATAGTTTTTTAATTTTTGTTTTCAATTTATACATCCTTAACACAGTTGCATATTATGGGTACTTTAAAGACAATGCTGACACTGAACGGTGTTCCACTGGTGTTCGGCTGTGTGTATATATTGATAACTGTGTTTCGTTCTGTCGTCTTAGTCATCCAAATTTTTAGTTTGAAAAAAAAAAGTCCTTTTTTTTTCTTCTACATTTGCATTTGGTGATAAGAAACGGTGCAGCTAAAAGTTTGTGGTATACATAAATATCACATTAAAATTTCCTACGTTGCTTTTTTTATTTCCTTATGTAAGTTAAATGTTTCGTTTCAATTTCCAGCTTCTTTTTACTCTTTTCTCTAAATTTTGCAACTTTGTATATACATTTATAAAATATTTATATGATATGTATAGAAAAGGTATAGAAAAATGTGTTTAACTTATGATAGAACTGTTTGGTCAAGCAACAAAAATATTTAGCATTATTTCTTTCGTTTCTATGATGGGTATTTTTTTTTTCTTTCTTCTTCTTCTTCTTCTTTTGTTTTTTGATGTTGTTTAAATGTTGTTTACAAACTTCTGAAATAAGATTTTTTTTTTCTTTTTTTAATAGATGATAAAATGGTAACAGTTAATTTATGGTTTTGTTTTTGCTTTCTTTTTTTCTACATTTATTGCAAATTATGGTCTATCGTATTTGGTGGCACTTTTACTTTTGATCAAGTCTTGTTGAAGTACTGTGGCAATTACAAACATAATGATTCAGTGTTACAACTTTAAAACAGTGCTTCTAAAGGTGGTCAAAGCAAAAAAAAAAATTTTTTTTTTTTGTCAACAGTCAATAAAAGGCTTTTTTGTAGTACAGAATACAAGATTTTTAGGCTTGGAATAAAATTTTAGTTGACTGTACAAATTTGGTTAATCTTTTGATATCTCACTGTTTTTGCTGAACAGTTCCAGAAGACAATGGATTTTAAGTCTACAAACGCTGAAATATTATTTTTGAATTGCCCAATAAATGATGAATCATAACCCGTAGTAAACTACGTGAATTTATCTAAGATTTTTTTTTTTTTTGCTTGGATTTTTCACTACTATTTGCTGGTACCTAAACGATGAAAAAAAAGACAATCAAATAAAGCTTTTTCAACATCTGAGACAGTGATTAACAGTGACAAACTATCAGCTTTTTAGATGTTTGTATTTTTTCTGTTTTTTTTTTAATAAATCGTATTCTTTTCGTCTTTTTATTTTTTCGTTGTTGTTTGAACGTTATTGGAAAAATGTTTTTTGTGATTACTACAAATGTTTCGTTGAAGGAGACGAGGAATCAGCCGGGATAACAAACTTGGCCAAACAGATCAGTATGGTGGGTAAACTCCTACCCTTACTGTTGACGGTATTTTTTCTGTTACAGTTACTGAACGCTGATTCAACAGAAAATGAATATGACGTCTTTGTAGAGTTTTCAACAAATGAAGAAGGTTGAATTTTGATAGCAAAGTTTCAAAAAAAAAAAA